TGTGGCAGACTAATTTGCATATCATTTACATAATAATAGAGATTGCCCAAAGCACATTTACATCCACATAACAAACAACATACATTTTCAAAAACAAGGTGGCACATATTTGTTTCATACAGTGTTATAAACTCTATTTTTTTGGGATATTAATGAGCTCAGTCACAGTGCAAATATTTTTTCTATTGGAGTCAAAATATTATGTTTCACAATTTAGAAGAGTTTGAATTTAAAAATGAAAAATTGTCAAATCGAAATGGAAATGCTGCAGACTATTAAAAACAAACAAACAAATAAATTGTAAAAGGCTAAATGAAACGCATTTCAGCCAGGAATATGTTCTCGACTTCCATGATCTTATTTACTACAAAAACCATTCTCCTTCAAAAAATTGTTCATTATTCGTACCATCAGCTTCTACAACGTTTACATTTACAGTAATGAACGAACAAATAAAACTTCCAAACGATCAAAGTTACGACGTGACTTAACTTACTTCGCGATGTTATACACCGGTTATACCAATAATTCCTCATACTCTTTCATGCTAATTTTACAAAATTAACTTGTATTGTTTATAAGTCACTACCACATCGTGCGACTACGTCTATTGTTTACAAATTATAATCCACGACTGGCAGGATGTGTGTCGGTCGGTACGTCAGACAATAGTCTTGGTCGGAAGCGTGGCAAGATCCCTGAAAGCTACGCATTTCTTTCTATATTTCGTAATACAGTTCACAGGATAAACAATGAAAAAAGCACTGTGGCGGTCTTACTAATCACCGTGGCGGCTCGAGACCACAGTGGCGGGCAGGAAAAGCAGCGTGGCGGCCCCGCACACAAATTGAATGCTGGGGAGAACACTGCATATGCATAATCTCATGAAGATCCTGCGTACTAACCGACAAATGCCACTTGCTCTTCCTCAGACAAAGAATGTGTTGTGCCTTCCACTGAAGCATATGATGTGCCACCTTTAGCTTCAATACCTTCCCTCTTAGTGATAGCTTGTCTGAATGTTTGTGCAATTTCCTTAGATTTCATGTCAGAATACATCTGTTGAGACAAATACACAATTAGTACATGTTAGACAAGATTCAGTAGCAATTCCAAGATTTAGTCCAGCTCAGTTTTGTTATAAAATATAATATGCAAGTGCACTTATATTTCTGAGGTGATGTTTCATCCAAAAGTACCTAGACCTACCCCAGTATTTTGAGTTGTAATATGGATATGTGCACATGTATACTAAAGTCGGCAAACAGTAAATATTCAACAAAATAGTTTAAGTGCTGTTCAGTAGTTAAATAGTTTCTCAGTGTATTGCCCAGTAACAAGTACAGGTATAATAATACCAATAAGTACGATTACTGACAAGTTCCTAACGAGTAACCTCACACTATAGATGACATACATTTAACATCAACGACAAACTATTTCCAGCCAAAGTGCTCCTTCTACGTTTATAATTGTTCTGCAAATAGACACCTAATTTTCATAAATAATCATAATTTTGGAAGAAAACATGGAATAAATGTTTATTTGTGAATGGTAACAAAGTCATTCAACAAAAAAACCTACAAACACAACCAATCTATAAAAAAAAAAAAAAAACAAGTTCTCAGTCTCTGAGTGTGGGTTCAGATAGTTTCACGCACTATAAGAATATTAAGTTTCACAGAAATTGCCTTTAGTTATACACAACCATGTTTATTCAGGACAACAAAATGACTGGATCGCAATCATGAAACTACAGACACAAGGATTTAAGAGACAGCGACTTTAAGCAAATTTTTTTTCTCTTCATGAATGCCATAAAATCCTCAAATTTGTGAAAATTCATAAAAAAAATAAAAATTAAACAGTTTACAGAATAAAGTGATTAGTACATTGAACAAAATAACAAAAATGTTGGTATTACCACGAAATCTGTCTAAACTATACACCAATAAGACAGTTACATACATTACACAGTTACAAAGGCCTTTGGTACAGATGTATCAATTTGACACAATGCCAGAATGTGGAATAGAGATACAACAAAAAGTAAAAAGAAACTCACCTCAATAAATTCATTGATTTCAATCATTCCATTCTTGTCCCGGTCAATCGAGGCCACCAGGTCTCTAACTTTATACTGAGGTAAGTCCATACCTATATTCTTGAAAACTGTGCCTAACTCTTTTGTTGTGATGCTGCCATTGCCATCCAAGTCAAACTGTGTGTATGAAGATGAAGCCAACTCTACTGTGTCATTGCATGGGGTAGAAGCAGTACAACACAATGGAGACCAGGGTATGTACAAGTGTGAGTACGTGTGCATGTTCTTGCGAGTGTGTGCATGCATGCGTGTGTGTGTATGTGTACATGTGGGCGCGTTTGTATTATCAACATTGTGGCAATGTCCATTTAACTTTACACCTATTTTTCATAATTAATATTAATACTTATAGTCAAATTTAAGTCAAGTTTGCATAGCTTAGGGTAAGTAAAGGGAGAAGGTATGGTATAATAATTGTATAATACCTACATGTATCCCCTTTACTAACGCTAAGCTTTGCAAACACTTATGTTAAGTCACAGGATGCATGATGTTATTTCCACTTTTATTTAATTAAACCTGATGTTGAATTGCATTGAGTTTAATTAAACTCCAATTAAATCGCAAACCTATATAGAGTCGCATTTCAATCCAAACATAACGCAACTATATTAGAAGCTAATCTGATTGATGATTGGTCAGATGTAACAAAGAATATGCAGAATAGTAGGTGTTTATTATGTGACCAGAAAATCCAAATAAGATTTTAAATGCACTGAGAGAGTGTTTCAGAAGAACGTACATTTAGTAAATTTTTTAGGTTTCAGAAAAGTGCAATCTTAAGGATCCATAGTTGTTGCATATTTGTTTTACTAGATGCACAAACACATACATAAATATCCACAGACTTGGTTACATTGGTACGAGTTTGTCAAAAGAAATTAGATTTTCGGGTCATACATTTGTTTCTGATAAAGTAAATAGTTTTATTTTTATTAATGACTTATTATTTTAATTGTAGTCGGAAGTTTTTTAATAGAGGAAAAAAACAAATCAAAAAATAAAATTAAAAAATATATTAAAATAAACCGAAGTATTAAAGCACATGGTATAAAAGGGTGTATGGTGTAAATAAGAGTGGTATAAGTATGTAGTATTAGCATTTGTAGAATATAAATACGTGTGGTATAAGAGTGTCAGCATGGTATATCCACTCATGTTGTATGTGTGGTATAAGCAACAGTGTGATTTGCATGTAATAAATGCATGAAATAAATGTAAGTGGAATAACAGTGTGGCATATGCAGTGCAGGCAAATGATAGTGGTATAATCATGTGTGGTATATATAAACAATGGTTCATTGTACAAAATACACAAACAGTGGTGTAACAATTCAGCTCATTTCCCAATCAATCAATTTCCTGTAATGTTGAGAATTGATGAACAATTCTGAGCATTACAAATCTGAGCTGAGTGATTACACACCATTACATGGCAACAACATAACACTAACAAAGACAGGTTACATCCAAGATTATTACAAATTTAGAACTTGCAAAGTAATATCAATCATTAATATACACATGTCAATGCAAGTCCACAAGTTGATAATTTTACAGTAGACAAGGACACCATCAACCACAACAAAATGAAAATTCCAAAAAAAGGCTGAGGATGACAGCGAGTGTGTTTAGAAAGAGAAAGCTGTTGGGAGCTAATAAACATCTCTCGAATTTTTGATTAGTACTGTTTATTCCAAAACAGAGAAATCTCTTTGCTTGTACAGACTATAGAAATTTACGATTCATAGTAATGTTCCCCCAATGCATCTCAAATATTCATAAATTTCCGAGAATGAATCATGATTCCACGAACAAGACTTTCGATTTCACCAAGCATAATTAGGTGATATAAATCATCACGATTTGTATTATATATAAATGGCAGAACCTTGCAGGTTAATGCAGTTAATTCCCTATTCTGTTAATTAACTTGATTAACCAACCAGATTCACATTGCAGCTTGAAGCAAATTGACAAATTGAGATGGGAAATGACTAAACAAATTGGAGATTGTGTAACCCAGTGAGAGTGAGCTAAGAAATATTAAATAAAATGTATTAGTATATGGAGTAACTAAAAATTTACTGATTCAGAAGGATTTATGTTATGATAAGCAATAGCAGTCAGAGCAAAGCAGTGTTTATATTGGAAGGTGGTGGCAACATTACAACAAAAGATATGACAACTAAATAAAAGAAATGAAGAATATTAACCTACAAAGAGAATATTAAATAATTAGTAACTAAAATTAATGAACAGAAGAAAGACACATTGTTAGTAGTGTTAAAATAGTTACATACTCACCTGAGAGATAGAGTAGAAGAGAGTGATATATTTTTAGAAAAAGATGATTTATGATTGAAAGAAGAATTTTTAACAAGTGCATATTTATAATTTGGGATGATGGGGTAGATAGAGTCAGTTTCTCCCCATACTAGCTATCATTTAACCTTTTAATTCCCTTTTTTCAACACAAATATTCTCATTTATGGTCTGCACTTTTCCTTTGAAGATTAGGGCAAAAATAGCCATTTTTTTTAGTCAACACTGAAAATTGACACAAATCTTATTTGTTGGCTCCAAAATTAGGGTTTATTTCAAGGAATATTGAAGAATATAAGAAACAAGCAGCCTATCGGCCGAGATAGCTCCGCTGTTAGCAATGCACATTTCAATTAAAGAACTGAAGATATCATTAGAAAATGAACAATATGTATAGTATCAAAGCAATCGGACTTTAATACAGTTTTAACAAGAAGTCGAAAATATCACTTTTTACCAAAAATGACAAAAATATTCACCAAAATTAGAGAATTGAAGATATCATCACGAAATGAACAAATCTGAGAAAGGTCTAAATGTAGTATCTATATATGTAATATCAAAGCAAATGAACTTTTGGTTTTTAACAAGAAGTCGAAAATATCACTTTTTACCAAAAATGACAAAAATATTCACCAAAATTAGAGAATTGAAGATATCATCACGCAATGAACAAATCTGAGAAAGGTCTACATGTAGTATCTATATATGTAATATCAAAGCAATTGAACTATTGGTTTTTAACAAGAAGTCGAAAATATCACTTTTTACCAAAAATTACAAAAATATTCACCAAAATTAGAGAATTGAAGATATCATTACAAAATAAACAAATCTGAGAGAGGTCCACATGTAGTATCTATATATGTAATATCAAAGCAATTGCACTTGCGGTTTTTAACAAGAAGTCGAAAATATCACTTTTTACCAAAAATGACAAAAATATTCACCAAAATTAGAGAATTGAAGATATCAACATGAAATGAACAAACCTAAGAGAGGTCTACCCAAGGTACATATACACCAAGTATCAAAGCATTCAGGCTTGTAGTTTTCAAGAAGAAGTCGAAAAAGTAAAACATTGACACGGACGCCGGACAACGCCGACGGACGCCGATAGACAATCACTCATATGATAAGCTCCGCTCGACAAAGTCAACAGCGGAGCTAAAAAGTGGAGAATAATTTGGGCGAGAAAGTATGGTGGTGAAAAGGATAAGACAACTATGTAACTGGTTTAATTTCATAATCAAATTTGCGAAAATATGGCAAAGGTTGTGGGTCAGAAAAAGATTTAACTGAGTATATTAGTTTGTTTTTTTCGTATACAACATCTAACCTTTTAAAGTGACCTAATGAGAGGTTATCACTGATAAGGTCATTGAAACTAAGTTCTTACAGTTATTGGTTCATTTCCCAAATATTACAAGTGTAGTATTTAATTTGTACTTCCTGCGATGCAAGTGGAATGTGGCCGAATTGTTCTAGTCTGTTTACAAGGAAATCTGAGCTAAGTGTTGATTTAATGGAATTTCCAATTTTCAATACTACAGTATTTATAATTGTGTACTAAAGTTCATGACAATATATCATATTGCTGAGCAAAGAGTTGCTCAAAATGATTATACTTTGCAATTATGACCGTTGACAATTGTGAAGTAACAATAGACCTTAGACGCAAGCGACCACTGACCTCTCGTTTGGAGAGACAACCACGCGACTTGTTTTTAACCTCTCAAATAAAGTTTCATTCTTTCCCATCATAGCATTCATCGGCTTTAATACCACGTTATATAGGTCATGGGAAGAGATGACGAACGAGAATGGAACACAATTTGGGGCTGTGGCTCTACCAATCTCAATGTGATCTTGGCGGTTATTGTGGACTCTGCACCATTAGTTGTGCATACTTGAGGTTCACATACAGGCACGATAATATTAGATTTTTTTTTATTGTTCAATTATTTCAAAATGCACCACACCCTGCCACGTTTTTTTTTTTTTTTACAGCCTAACCCATTACATGGATTTGGTCCACAACACAAGTTACTGTTTGTACTGAGATTGTATTGACTATATGGAGACAAGCCATATGTATACATGTACATGTGTAAACACCAAGTTAGGGAACGCCCTAAAAATGCCACCGAATTCTTGACTACCTGTTCTCAGTGTAACCAACATATACATTTCTCAAGCCACCAAATTTAATCAAATGATGGATCAGTCTACAGTAAATTCCATGAAGGCATGAACATTTATAGCAGTTTCATAAATTTCAAATGAAAATTGAACAAAAATTTACTAATCATTACATAATGAAATAATGGCAGTAAATTGGGCAATGAGTAAGAAAACCCACAAAGACTTGCGAGTATGATAATTGGCATTATCAATTGGCTTTTAAAGGCAATAAAGTACATTCTTTGGGTCTGAATGAAATACAAGGGACTTCAGGGTAAATGTTTTATAAATTTCCATAATTCACTAATCATCGGATAGCTTATAAAAAAATCAGGACTTCATTGGAAATTAACATAAGAAGATTTAAAATTGAGTGAAATGGGAATAGATTTGCCCATATTTGAGGGCATCCATGGAAACTAGTTCTTTTGCTCTTAAGATGAAAAGAAAATTCTGAATCAATCCCCAGTGTTTATAATACATTGTTAGCATTAACACGTTACTCACGAGTTAAAAGATAATCAGCTGGTTTTATTAGTGTTACAGGAACTATTTTCTACTTTTTTTATTGCAGGAAGTTGAAACATATTGGAGTAAAGAAGTTGAAA